GCATTCAGTGAGTTTTTAAAATCAAAACCCACAGCAGCTGGAGGTGACACCGAAATGCCACCGGTCTGTCTCCGTGTTCCGAGCTTTCCAATGGCATTTTTCATCCTGCTTTTTATTATTTTGCTTTGGGGAGGTGGAGCTGTGACTGTGGGTGACATACTCCTCTGACAATCTACAATTTAAGAGGCATTTAAATAACTCCCTTATTCAATGCTGAACATTTTTCTTCACCCCTCCTAATTCCGATGAAAGCAGCCTTTGGCACAAAGGCCTGGCGCTGAGTTTTAAGCCCCTTTATTGCCTCCAAACTTGGGTTTAAACTGAAACTACAGTAAATATTATCTGTACATTCCATGCACAGCTGACACTGAAAAACCTCCAGCTTTGTGGTGTGATGGGAAGTGTAGGAAAAGTGTAGGAAAAGGCAAAACAGGAAGGGGAAAGGAGCAGCTGATTTCCTTCAGGATGTTCCCCCTCACCCCATCACTGCTCATCCCTTTTTCTCCTCCTCTCCCCCTGTTCCCATCGTGGTTGTGCTTTAGGAGATGGAGGAGGCTCCTGGTAATTGGTTAATGAACTATTTTCAATTCAATTCCTGGTTGCACTTGCCATGGAAAATTAACAGTCCTTGGGTATAAATATGACCCCTACTCCTGGATTAATTTGATTATGTGAGAATCTCAGTTTTCATTTAAAAATAATAACTTTCTGGCTGCTCTGATAAAACAAGTTTGGATATGCAGTCTAAATATTCCCTAATGGCTTAAAAATCAAAAGATGAATATGAAGAACATATGAATCTCTTATTAATAAAATTTAAATGTCCTCAAATCTTTACTGTGATTGCTTGAGATTGAATATTTTGAGACCAGAAAATCCCTGATTTTTATTCATTGCTGGATCAGCATTCTCTGAAAGCCAAGTCTTTTTTAAGCAGCTTCATTTGGATTCACAAATAGACAAATTATATTCATTAATGACTGTGGGTACCTAAACCTACAGTTCCTTTACATTTACTCAAGACTTGTAGCAGAACAATAAATCTGGTGAGAACTGAAATCAGGCTGGTTTGAAAGGAAATATTTTTTGCAGAACTTTCTCATTGGGACATATTTCATTGTTGAATTTTTCTGTTACAGGTGTGATACCGCTGGCACACGTGGAACTGTGAGGATAAATGGAATGTATACTGATAAATTAAAAGGTGCCAGAGGATAGGTCTGGGCGCTGGAACTCGATTGTCCACACTGAGAAATGGTTGGGATGGGATCAAACATGATCTCAACTGGGATAATTAACACTCAAATAGTTTCTAGACATGACTTGTCTATTTTAATGGTTTACTTGTACAGATATGGATTAATGTGGTTTGGGCAGCAGGGAGGGAATGGATTCCCTTCCTCTTCTCAGCCTCAGGAGACCTCACCTACAGCTCTGGGGTCTCCAATATAGGAAGGATGTGGAGCTGCTGGAGCAAGTCCAGAGGAGGCCATGGAGATGCTCCAAGGACTGGAGCCCCTCTGCTCTGGAGCCAGGCTGGGAGAGCTGGGGGGGTTCAGCTGGAGAAGAGAAGGCTCCAGGGAGACCTGAGAGCCCCTTCCAGTGCCTAAAGGGGCTCCAGGAGAGCTGGAGAGGGATTTGGGACAAGGGCTGGAGGGACAGGACAAGGGGGAATGGCTTCCCACTGCCAGAGGGCAGGGTTAGATGGGATATTGGGAAGGAATTCTTCCCTCTGAGGACGGTGACATCCTGGGATGGAATTCCCAGAGAAGCTGTGGCTGCCCCTGGATCCCTGCAAGTGTTCAAGGCCAGATTGGACGGGGCTTGGAGCCACCTGGGCTAGTGGAAGGTGTCCCTTCCCGTGGCAGGGGTTGGAATGAGATGAGCTTTAAGGTCCCTTCCAACCCAAACTATTCCTTGATTCCATGCTAATCCATGTGTGGACAGAATTTGCAGTCAGTGAATCTTCAGCCAAGGGCAGTTGTAGGACTGTGCTCGAAACCATCAAGCGAGAGGCTGCAAAACCAGAGTGATGCCAAAGAAATGGTTTAGCAGTTTTGGATTATCTTTCCATGGATTGTGCTGTGTCACAGATGCAGAGGATGTGGGGAGGATTACTTTTATTAAAACCCAAAGAACTTAAGGAGCACAAGCCAGGCACTGCACCTGTGTGAAGCAGACTCTGCCTGAGGCGAAGCTGAATGTCAAATCCTCCAGGACATGTGTTGCTTTCAGCTCACGCTGCTTGTGTTCAGCAGAGAGCAAAGGCTGTCACACGTATTTCTCAGGCTTAGCTTGGGAAATTTGTGGAGTTTTGGCAGTTGAGGATAGAGCAGCATTTGGCAGCTTTGAGAGGAAGTCCCCCTGTTGTTCGGTTGTGAATTTGTATCCATGAAAATTCTGACAGTTTGAAAATAATGAAACAGAAGGAAAAATCTCTTCCTGATCAACTGGCTGTTGAAACCCTGGGGGTCAAGAGATAAAACAATGACATAAAGACATCCCTGGAAGTGTCCAAGGCCAGGTTGGTTGGGGCTTGGAGCAACCTGGGAAAGTGGAAGGTGTCCCTGCCCATGGCAGGGGGTGGAATAAGATGAGCTTTGTTTCCTCCCAATCCAAACCATTCTGGGATTCTCTAATCCATGTCCTCCCAATTCCAGTTTTCCAAGTGTCTGAATCCAGTTGTATTCCACTGATGGATTAACCTCTTAAATATGAACCGAATTTGGGTGGAATGTGTTGCTTTCCACATTGGAAGCTGAAGGGAAGATCAGTGTTCCCTGACAATCTCCGTGTCTCTGTAAAACCAGGATTTATCCTACTTACTGCAAGCCCTTATCTCTAGAATGATGATGGGCTTGGAAAAGTCATTTATTCTTTCTGTTACAAGTTACAGGGAAAGACCTTTTAATTTTTTTTTCTAATTCCATGCTGCCAATGTAATTCTGATTTTCTGGAATTATTCAATCCAATTTGTAGGTGAGAATTAAAATGTTTTCACATGAAAAACTGTGGAGTAAAAAACCCCGAACTGGGATTTCTCTAATGAGTGTCTTTGTTGAGAGTTTTTATTACTTATGTGTTGTTATTTATGTTGTGACTTTCTTCATGGGGTTGAATGTATATTTTGTGAAAGTCCTTTTAAATTTGGGGGTTTTCTTTTACTATTTATTGCATCTAGGCAGGAAACACTGGAAGAATTGTAAACCAAAGTATGAATGACAAGAAAATGAATTATTTTATCTGGCAGAGATCTTTGCAATGAAAGTGTGAAGGCATTGGAAGACAACTTGAGCACTCTGAAAATATTACTTTCATTCAAGCCCATCTCACCTCTAAAAGTTTAATTTTAATTTTAATATATTGAAAGCCTCCCCATTTGAAATGAAAACTGCTTCATACATCATCTGTGTCACTCACTCCTTAAATGAAAGCAGCTCTCAGGGCTGGGACAGGGTTAGTTTATTTGATCTTACAAGATGTTTCATAATTCTTCTGACTTTTCACTCCTCTCAGGTGGCTGTAGATCATGTTGGGAGCACCAGCTCTGGCTTATGAGGTTGAAAACCTTGCTCATATTACTCCCACTCTGGAACCTCCCAACAATTTGCTCCCCAAAGCCCCTCTCCTGTGCCTCAGAGCATTCAATCTTCCTAAATGCAACCAAGTGACTCGTGGCATCTCTTGCTCCAGTTGCAATAACTCTGATTTTCCCTCCTCATTGAGTGTTGAGGAATGTTCAGTGCCAGCCTGGGATTAGGAATGTGCCTCCCTGATATTGCTTTCAGAGAATTCCCTGGGAATTCTTCATTTGACCTGTTTTGTTCTTTACCAGGCTCGGGACTAAAGGAAGTAAAATAATGCATGTACTGAGAAATTATCTTGGTTTTCTCCCTGTGAAGTATTTTGTGGGCAGAAATGTGTATTTTTGAGTTCAGGCAGTTTTGTTTCCTGCCGCCCTTGTTGATGATGAATCTTAGGAGACGGAAAAACGAATGGGAGGATGTCAGAGAAAAGGGTTTAAATTGAAAGGAGGGAAGGTTTAAATTAGAGATTGGGAAGGAATTCTTGCCTGTGAAGGTGATAAGGGCCTGGGATGGAATTCCCAGAGAAACTGTGGCTGGCCCATCCCTGGAAATGTCCAAGGCCAGGTTGGACAGGGCTTGGAGCAACCTGGGCTAGTGGAAGATGTTCCTGCCCATGGCAGGGGGGTTGAACTGGATAAGCTTTAAGGTCTCTCCCAACCCAAACCATTCTAGGACTCCAGGATTCTCTAACAGCAGATTCCTGCTCCTCTCTTGCATCCATCTCCCTCCCCTCAATGTATCAAGAACAGAAGAGGGTTGATGCTCCCTCAGCAACTTCCCCAATAATTTGGGATCTTAAATCACCGTGGGTACCCCCCCTCCCATTAATTGTCTTTAAGCTGAAATAGAAGAGATTTAGGTGGGATATTGGGAAGAAATTTTTCCCAGTGAGGGTGAGGCCCTGGCACAGATTGCCCAGAGAAGCTGTTCCATCCCTGGAAGTGTCCAAGGCCAGGTTGGACGGGGCTTGGAGCAACAGGATAGTGGAAGGTGTCGGGGTTGGAACAGGATGAGCTTTAAGGTCCTTCCAACCCAAACCATTCCATGATTCTCTGATTCCCTGATCATATAAACAAGCAAAGGAGAATTATGATTCCCTGTTTTTCCTCCTTGCATGAGGAGGGTCCTTTCAAGAGCAGGGATTTCTGCTGTGGAGGTTCCTGTCACATCAGGATCAGCTCATTTGTCTCAACCACCAATCTGAAATTCATCCTCAGTTTCTCTTCTGGCACTTTGGGACAGTATTTTTAAAATACAGAGGGCATGAAGTTCCACATTTAGTGATTGTACAGGTTGGCTTTCATAAATCAGACTTCAAGTTTCAGTAGATCTAAAGAAATAAAGAGTTGTTTTTATGCAAATCATGTATTCTATTACATTATAACTTGGATGTTTTTTTTTATGCCCTTCCAGATAAACATCACGTCAATGGAAACAGAATGGTGGAACCTTTCCCAGAGGGAACACAGATGGCTCTGTTTGGTAAGACATCAGTTCTAAAACAAAAGCTCTAAGCTTTGTAGTGTTCCTGAATTCCAAATTCCTTCATTTCAGCCTGAGTTCTCAAAGTTTTAAAATCTGGGCTGCTCCTGCCGTTTTCCAGTCACTGCCATCAGCTAAAACCACTGAGCATTTGGGACCATGGCCATGCCTCCCCAAAAATATGCTAAAAGTATTTTTTCTTAATTGTACCAGCAGCAAATTAAAAGGGCAAGTTCTTTGTATTTGGGGACTCTGTAAGTTTGGGGGAAGAGCCTGAACTAGTTGAACTCTCTGATTCCACCTTACCAAGACAGGGATTTTCACACCTCTTCTCCAGAAACATCCTTTAATCCTTTAATGGGGATTGCACAGGGACAAGTCTCGAAGAGCAGGAGTTACTTAGGAGTAATCCCTTTTATTACTCAGAGAGGGTGTGGATTCTCCTTCACTGGAGATATTCCAAAGGTGTCTGGACACAATCCTGTGCCATGTGCTCTGGGATGCCCCTGCTGGAGCAGGGGGGTTGGACCCACTGTGCTCCCTTCCAACTTGACCCGTTCTGGAATGGCTTAAAAAGACCTACAAAAGCTCAAAGATGATAAATAACCACGTGATTGTGTAGCTACAGCCTATTTGCAGTGAATTTTCTTATTTCTTGGATAGTTTTAGATGCAACAGTAAAATAACAGCATAAAATGTAGTGCTGAGCTGTAAACACTGATCCTTTCACCTGCTGAAAACACAGTGGGATTGATTACACAGCTCCCTCTTCTGCAAAATCTCCTCCAGATGCTCTTATTAATGGTGCATTATTTGTTTCATGGTGTGACTTCTGGTTTTGATTGAGGTACAGGGGGAATATACCTTGGGCTTTGTTCCTGCAGCTGTAACAGAACCTTACAGATCTCAAAAGACTCTTTAAATGATCTTGAGACTCTCCTGTTGTTTGTTCAGCATCACTCGTTGCTGGAGATGCATCTGTTGTTCTTTAGGATAAAGAGATGTGTCCTTGTTCCTACAATGGAGATGAAGCCAATTTTAAGGGTGAGGGTGACTCTTTAATGGAAATCTTTTAGTGCTGCTCATCCAGTGACCTCCTAATCCAACTTCCAGCTGATTTTAAGGCATGAAGAGCACAGGAGGAGCACAGGAACCTCACAGCCTCACTGGAGGCACTGGAGTGTTACAGCAAAAATCAAAAATCAGTGTGTCCCTTGAGGTCTATTCCCAAGTTCAGTGATGAAGCTGTGGCTGCCCCATCCCTGGAAGTGTCCAAGGCCAGGTTGGACAGAGCTTGGAGCAATCTGGGCTAGTGGAAGGTGTCCCTGCCCATGGCAGGGGGTTGGAATGAGATGGGCTTTAATGTCCCTTCCCACCCAAACCATTCTGGGATTCTGTGTTTTTGTGAAACAGGTGAAACTCTAGACATGTTTGTGTTACAAATGATAAAGTAGAAACCATTCAATAAATGCCTGTCTAGAAAGTTTTCTTGTAGTTTTTATGCTTACAGATATTTTGATTTAAAAATATTTTGCCTGTAGTGACTGATTTTGACCCAAAACCTGACCAAGACTCAAAATCTGGACATATATGGAGGGGTCAATAATGTTTTGAAAATAAACATTTCAGGGACTAAATTCAACTTTTGGACAGAGTGGTAAAAAAAAATGGTTCAAAGCTGCAGAACAACTGCAAATTTCAGTAAATTAGTACTTTCATCAGTACCATTGTAGTTCTTTGCATATTTTAAACACTTTTAAATGCTCTGCTGTGTTATCATAGAATCAAGAATGGTTTGGGTGGGAAGGGACCTCAAAGAACATCTTGTTCCAACCCCCTGCCATGGGCAGGGACACCTTCCACTATTCCAGGTTTCTGAATTTTAAGTGCTTCTTTTCCTGTTGCAAATCTCCAGTTCATCCCAAAGCACCTCTATATTCACTGAACTTTATATGTTTCCTTATTTCTCTAAGAGGAAGCATCTTGCATATGGTGCATTCATGGAAGGGCTTTTATTTACCTCCACTAAAGTCTGGCAATAGTTCAGATTTGTAATTATAACACTTCTAAAATATAGGACTAAATTGAGTCGTATTTGCTTGTCATGCAGTGGCTCATAATGAGATAATTGGTTTCTTGATGTAAACAAAGTATAGACAGTAATAGGATGTTCAGTAACAGAGAAGATCTAATTATGGATATTTTTAGGGCTGACAAACAGATCCAAGCTTGGTCACCTTCTACTCCACAGTTATTAGACAGCAGCACATTCCAGTAATTCCCTAGAGCTGGATTATTGTTGCACTTTGCTGTGGCTGCCCCATCCCTGGAAGTGTCCAAGGCCAGGTTGGACAGGGCTTGGAGCAACCTGGGATGGTGGAAGGTGTCCCTGCCCATGGCAGAGGGTGGAACTGGATGATCTTCAAAGTCCTTCCATCCCAAACTGTTTTATTTCAATGATAAAGTCTTGATCAGGGCAACTTCACAACTAAAGGAAAATAATTTCACTTGAAAAGGGGCATGATGTGTTTAAAAATGGATAAATCCATTCAGAATTTCTTTTACTCTTGAAACAGCTCCTGGTGGCCTTGACAGATAAAAATGTGTGTTAGGAAGTCCTTTGGTCTGACTGAGTTTTCAATTACTACTTTTCACCAAGAAAAGAAAATCACAAACAGGAAACAAAGTTTGACCACCAAGAGAAAATACATTTTTTTTTTTTTTTGTAGACAGTAAAATAGAACAAACAATTTTTCTCTCTTGATCAAAGAAAAAGAAGAAAACTTTAAATCATAATACAGGTCAGCAGATATTTTATCTCTGTCTGAAGAGAATGGAAGAGTTCCTGATGTTGAAACAGGTGTGTGTGCTGTGACCCAGATGGAGGAGAAACATCTACAGAGACATCAGCAGATGTTCCAAGGATCATGTTGTGGAATAATTGAGAGCCAGAGGGAAGGTCTTCCAGAAGGGATTTGTGTTTCTCATGCTAATTATCTTTAAACATCTTGGAAGGGTGAAGGAATTGCACTAATTGCCTGGATTTGTAGAGCTCTGAAGCATTAATGGTGTCCTGTGTTCACATGCTGGTGGAAAAATGGACACTGGATTTCTATAGATCTGGAATGAGAGAATAAACCTGTAGAGATAAGGCAGATCAATAAGGAATGGCCTAAACAGAAGATGCTCTGTCCTTAAACCAAATCATGTTCCTATTCCTACCTTTCCAGTATGTTTATTAAAGAAATTATCCTTAGTTCCAATTTTCCTTTTTTTCCTGTGTTCCAGAACGTGACTTTGTCTTTTTGTTACCTATTCCAGAGAACTGAAACACAGCCCAGATCCCTGACCCTGCTGTTGGGTCCTGGTTCATCCCTGTTGTCACCTCTGCCTACGCATGGGGTCACAGATTGGTTTGGGTGAGAAGGGACCTAAAAGGTCATCTCATTCCAACCCCTGCCATGGGCAGGGACACCTTCCACTAGCCCAGGTTGCTCCAAGCCCTGTCCAGCCTGGCCTTGAACATTTCCAGGGATCCAGGGGCAGCCACAGCTTCTCTAATTCCGTCTTAGCCCCTCACCACCCTCACAGAGAATTCCTTCCCAAGATCCCATCTAACCCTGCCCTCTGGCAGTGGGAAGCCATTCCCCCTCGTCCTGTCCCTCCATCCCTTGTCCCCAGTCCCTCTACAACTTTCTTGGAGCCCCTTTAGGCTCTGGAAGGGGCTCCAAGGTTCTCCCTGGATCCTTCTCTTCTCCAGGTGAACCCCCCCAGCTCTCCCAGCCTGGCTCCAGAGCAGAGGGGCTCCAGCCC